AAAAGTTGGTGTTTCGAGGTGTAAACGACATGCCAGATAGTTGTTGTGCGATTGGTTGCACTAACCAGATGAGATATGCAACCTTCACAGTATACACGTCTGTGCAGTGATCATTCCATCACTCCATCAAAGGTAATTTCAACATTTGTTTGAATACAATGGGTGTATGATCATGTAATTAATTGTGTCTTTAAGTTACCCTGTAGTTTCGTCAATCAACGCCACCAGCTGGTTCGGCGAGTCAGCTGTTTGTGTTATGAGGCTAACTGTAGGCTAACCCGCCGCCGGCGAGAGCGGCAAAATTCATTTGAATGACTTCTGGGCACTTTGACGCTCTCGCCGGTGGCGGTGTAAACGCACGGTAACAGCTGTCGTATTTTGCTAACAACAACAAAAGTGTGTGATAGGTTGTTTTGAGGTTTGTGATATCTATGGTTTTCAATGAGAACCAGAGATGACCCAACAGTAGAGCTAGATTATTTACGGAGGAATTATTACTGCTCGATTATCTTAAAAAACCTTGTCTGCTTTACACAATTTAGCTACCTTGGAGTTAATCCTAGTCCATAGTTATGCAGCTAGCTCGCTTACAGACTTGATAGCTACTAGAAAGACCTGGAACTACAGGACTCTACGTTGAAAATACCCGTTTGTTGCCCGCCAGGTATCCATGGTAGTCACGTGACTGCAAAGTATGAATACTGTTTATGAATCAGTAAATCAAGCCAGTGACTAAACGATCAACGATAAACGATGAAAATAATCTTATTTAAACTGTGATTAAATTAAATACAGAAAGCGATCAAAGAACGCTCCTTTTCCAATCGCACAAGCTGTCAATCACACAGCGCGAGTTTAATCTGAACATTTGCTCGTTATGAAATCAATGATGCTGTTACACTGCACAACGAAGCTCTTCTTGTATTTACATCATGTTTGCATTGTTATTTGGTAAAAGCATTCGTGAGAGTGCAGAAACTGCGTTGCAATGATGAGATCACTTCATTCACGCGATCAACAGACTGTCTGTCATCAATGCTCATCACTGCAACCTTTCATGTGATGGAATAGATCTAAATATAATGCTTTAATTAATACTTTTACGATTTGTTATTCTCGATTGCTGTAATAGTAAAAACTTAAAAGTTTTCGAGAGATTTCCACATGTAATGTTAGCTATTTCATATGCAAACATGTCAGCCAATCACAGCAGTGGGCGTTTACACTGAAGTCTCACAGCAGCCAATCACAGCAGTGGGCGTTTACACTGAAGTCTCACAGCCAATCACAGCAGTGGGCGCTTACACTGAAGTCTCACAGCCAATCACAGCAGTGGGCGCTTACACTGAAGTCTCACAGCCAATCACAGCAGTGGGCGTTTACACTGAAGTCTCACAGCAGCCAATCACAGCAGTGGGCGTTTACACTGAAATCTCACAGCAGCCAATCACAGCAGTGGGCGTTTACGCTGAAGTCTCACAGCCAATCACAGCAGTGGGCGCTTACACTGAAGTCTCACAGCCAATCACAGCAGTGGACGCTTACACTGAAGTCTCACAGCCAATCACAGCAGTGGGCGTTTACACTGAAGTCTCACAGCAGCCAATCACAGCAGTGGGCGTTTACGCTGAAGTCTCACAGCCAATCACAGCAGTGGGCGCTTACACTGAAGTCTCACAGCCAATCACAGCAGTGGGCGCTTACACTGAAGTCTCACAGCCAATCACAGCAGTGGGCGTTTACACTGAAGTCTCACAGCAGCCAATCACAGCAGTGGGCGTTTACGCTGAAATCTCACAGCAGCCAATCACAGCAGTGGGCGTTTACGCTGAAGTCTCACAGCCAATCACAGCAGTGGGCGCTTACACTGAAGTCTCACAGCCAATCACAGCAGTGGGCGCTTACACTGAAGTCTCACAGCCAATCACAGCAGTGGGCGTTTACACTGAAGTCTCACAGCAGCCAATCACAGCAGTGGGCGTTTACACTGAAGTCTCACAGCCAATCACAGCAGTGGGCGTTTACGCTGAAGTCTCACAGCCAATCACAGCAGTGGGCGCTTACACTGAAGTCTCACAGCCAATCACAGCAGTGGGCGTTTACACTGAAGTCTCACTGCCAATCACAGCAGTGGGCGTTTACACTGAAGTCTCACAGCCAATCACAGCATCAATCACAGCAGTGGGCGTTTACACTGAAGTCTCACAGCCAATCACAGCAGTGGGCGTTTACACTGAAGTCTCACAGCCAATCACAGCAGTGGGGGCTTACACTGAAGTCTCACAGCCAATCACAGCAGTGGGCGTTTACACTGAAGACTCACAGCCAATCACAGCAGTGGGCGTTTACACTGAAGACTCACAGCCAATCACAGCAGTGGGCGTTTACACTGAAGACTCACAGCCAATCACAGCAGTGGGCGTTTACACTGAAGACTCACAGCCAATCACAGCAGTGGGCATTTACACTGAAGTCTGACACAGACACGCCCTTCAAACAGAGCGTTCAAATCAGAGGCTAAAATGCTTGGAAAAATGCCTTTTATTTCTAAATTATGAATTTTAATGTAAAAATCATACTAACATTATAAGGGCACCCCAGGAAACATTATGAAATAATTACATGCCCCCATTTAAGACAGTGATTAACAATGAACAATGCTCAGAAAAGCCCTTGGCGTTACGATCATATCATGTCTTTCCAGGGTCGGCGCCACGAGGGGTCCGGGTCACTGTGCCCCCTCACCTCTGGTCAGCACACCACCCTGCCTCGCAATAGCGAACTAAATGAATGCTCTGCTATATAACTGGAGATGTTTTATTTATTTGTATTAGGTGCATCCGTGCAATGTTTCAAGAAGTGGTGGGGGACAATATCGATCCTGAGAAAAACCCGCAAATTACGCCTATGATGACGACGACTTCAATGGATCTAAACAAATCAACCCATTTTTTATTAAAAGTTGGTGTAGGTAGATTTTTTAACTAGACATTTTCATGACAAAAAAAAAAAAAAAAAAAAAATATCCATATCTATTAAGCTATATCCTATCTAAAAACAATCTCTTCACTCATATACTAAACCCAACTTTAAAGCAGCACTAAGTAGGAATTCCGTTTTTGTCAAACAGCGACCCCTAGAGTCTCTGTGGAGTACTTGTACTGTCGTGAATAGCACTCACGCAGAAAAGGCTCGCACTCACGGCCGGATCCCCTCCCCCTGTACACCGGTACCTGTTCAGTAGGATGGACGCTGTAACGAGTGGAAATAAGGTGTGGCCCCTTTAAGAGCTGCGCGCGCCCAACACCACATGTATACGGCGCCGGGTTATTTCTGTTTGATGCTCATTTTATCAGAATTTTATCAGATCTGTTTTTTGCCGTAAAGCAATTCGTTACCTCGCGAGACCTGATATCACACGATACTTCGCCAGCCCAAAGTTGCAAGGGTGGTTTTGCGGCTCACAGGCACCAGGGGGGTGCGAGACGACCACCATTCAACACGAAATCAGTAATATAAACATTACAATGACTCCAAAGCTGTTCGGTTAAGGTAAAAAAGTTACTTAGTTCACCTTTAAAACCTTAATGTCCAATGGCAACTTATTCCACTCCTGCGCACCGGTATAATCGAACGTCCTCTGACCGCACAAACTCTTACACTTACATAGATTACATAGATAGGAAAGGACACGACAGAAGAGAGTCTGATGGAGATAAGAAAGAGACAGAGAGGAAAAGACTTTTCCCAGCCATGATAACACTGGAGAAGAGTTGAAGATGATCCTTGTCTTCTTTTGAGCGCACAATCGTCAAGTTATTATCATCTTTACAACACACAGTGTTTCAAAGCAGCTTTACCGTGATAACAGGAAAATAATGCAACAAAGTTTGTTTCCAGAAGAAAATAGCGTCACAGTCACAGTAAGTTCAGTGATGGTTCATTTTTGTTGTAAAAAAAAATATTATAAATAATATTTTTTATTTAAAAAATCATATTTGCTGTGTTCTTTCCGTTGTTATGGTTTGTTTTAGTATTGTTTTGGTTTGTTGATTATTGTGTGTTAATTGTGAGCTGACTGCATGGCTTGAGCCTATAGATGCAGAACTCACCCATGCTAATGTTTGAGGCTGAGTTTAACTGAGTTTTGGGGATCTCTTCTTTTTTTATTTTTTTTTTTTTTTTTATTGTGAATAATGGTGATATTTCGTTTAAGAAAACTGAGATACTGTAACTTTACTTATCTCTCCTTTTCTTGCAGAAATTTTTAACTGGACCTTTTATCTGGCTGGACCTGTTTACACACTCACACACACGCGCGTACACACACGCGCGTACACACACACGCACACACACACACACACACTACAGTATTCATAGTTAACGTTATTAAGCCTGTAAGTTCTGACATGTTCACTGACTGCTCTCTGCACACTATTCACATCAAAATCACTGTCAAATACTTTTTGTAAGTCTAAGAATCACATGTAGAAACTTGTCCTGTATCAGATGCCCTGCAGTGGGTGTGACTGATGTCGGATTTAACCAGAGAAAGTGAAACTATCCTCCACTGTGTGCATCAGAACAGTTACTTCTACATCACGAGGGAATATAGTTAAAGTTCGAGCACATTCAACATGAGTTTCTGGATCTACTTTACAGACAAGAGACGGAGAATAGAGAGAATAACAGTTCCTGTGGCGGATTCAGAAGAGGAGTTCAGGAACACCACAGTGGAGGAGTTAAAGAGAAATCTCATTCCTGAAGACCAGCGTAAGTCCAGCACTGCAGTCTTCTGTTTACATTAGCGGACATGTGGGAAGAATATTGAGATGTTAACAAAGAAAATCTGTATTTCAATGTAGATTCAGCTCTTATTACCGGAGAAGCCTGAGATTTAATAGTAAATCAGAAAGCACATATTAATGAGGAAAACATGTGATTTGATGCGTGTGTGTGTGTGTGTGTGTGTGTGTGTGTTCCTCATGTTTCTTCCACAGTTGCAGACACTATTCTTCGCTACCGCTTTAAGACACTGAAGAAGAATCGCACACTTGGTTTCTACGGCATTAAACATGAGGATGATATTACCGCATTTCCCCGTGGATGTATGCATTATTTACACTAGTATTTGACATTAAAAGCATTTATTAATAGTCTTACACTAACTAGCCTTTTCATTTCAGACTCCTATACAGTGACACACCAGACAATGTCTTCTCATGGTCAAAAGTACACAAGTCAGTTTCTCTTTTCAGACCTTTTTTTTAATGACTTTTGTGCTTCATTTTGTGGAAATATAATTAGAAACTTTATTATGATGAATGTAAAATACCTTTAATTATTGATTATTAATTACAGGTACCGATAGACAGGCAAAAACTCAGTAAACTTCTGCTTTATTTCACATTATCTCTCACAGAAACAATTACATTTGAAGATGACGATGATGAAGATGATGATGAAGGTAAAGGATTGCCCAGGACTCAATCTATGGACTATTTTGTTCCAATGCAAAAGACTGACCCGTCAAAGTTTTGATTTTTGTAGTTCAGCCTCACATAATCCACAGATATATATTAATACTGTGATCAGTTAAAGTGTCTTTCACAAACATTCACTATCATATACTGTCTTCTGAAGTCAGCGTCTTAATGTAAAATGATTACTAAAAAGAATAAGTCTATAATAGTTTATGAAATTAAACGAGTTTGGTTTTGACATGCTGTGGATTCACTCTGTTTCTGTGCATTCATACGCAATCATTCTACACAGCCCTTTCTTTTACAGTTATTAAATAATATTGAATATTTGTATTTAGTGAGAATTTTCCCTTTGCTCTTCTAAACAGTTTTTGTGTTAATAATTTAATTCATTCCAATTTGCTTTAACATTGTCAGTTAGGAGTAAACTCAAAATATATATTTTAAAGTATACTGTAAAATGGTTGTGAACTTAAAAAGTAAGTGTTTGTGCTGCCTTAAAATTTTAAGTTTACTCAACTCAAATATTCAAGTTGTCACTTAGTACAACTTCACATTTCATGTTGACTACACCTAAAAATTGAAGTCAGCACAAACACTTACTTTTTAAATTTGACAACTAATTAGATTTTTTTTTTTATTCATATCAATGTGTGCATTTGACTTGATGCAACTGATTGGCATTTCACATGCTGGTTAGAAATATATATATATATATATATATATATATATATATATATATATATAGGCCTATATATATATATATTATCTTGGTTTTTATTTAAATTGAACAAAATTCAAGTACATTCCTTTGTGGCATAGTTATTAAAACATGTTGACAGTATCTATATAACAGAAAACAGAAGAGAGAGAAAAGACCTTCTAACATGAACAAGTCTGTTCAAGTCTTTATATTGCAGCTCTTACAAAAGCTAAAACTCCTAAACCGGTTCACAATTCAAGAAAAATATACGTTCTACAGTTTCAAAGTCTTTCTCACAGATCCCGCATGCACTGCTGTCCCTTTAAATCATTTAATGCAAAAAGTGGTAAATGTCATTTAAAATATTTTAAGGAAAAATTTATATTTTTTGAAAATTGTTTTCCTGGTCCTTTCAATGGCTAAATTGTTTTAAGGTATCTGTAAGTAATTTTAATATAATTACCCCCAACAACCTCAAAACAGAGTGAATAGCCAACAGGAATAGAAAGGACAGAAATAAACAAAAACAAAAAAAAATCTTTCTTTGCTTAGTTTTTTCACATTAAAACGTTTTGGTGTTTTTTTCAATCATGTCTGAAAAGCTGCGTCACGTGGTCACATGACTTAAGTCTCCAGGAAGTTTTCGAAGCATCTAATTAATATTCATGAGTAATTGTACTAAATTCCTTATACTGATATGGTATGGGTAGCCCTGTAATGTATATTATGCTGTTGTGCCAACCAGCGCACTCACGCGCATTCCGCCGTCCCAATTCTCACTTGAGCCCTAAGGCCTTCCTGGAAGTGGACACTTGTTGAAAGTGCACTTAGCGGAGTAAGTGCGCAAGGGCCCAAAGCTGTGAAGAGCAGAATTGGGACAGTTTTGCACACGTCACTTCTGTTGTGATCAGGAGAGCAAACACCATTCATTTGGCTAATGTGTGTGCTGCTTATAATAGCTGTAACATGACACAATCCTTTGAATGAAAAAAATAATATCTTTTTTTACTCTTAGCTACCAACCTTTCTGTTAATGTTATTAATATTAAAACAGTTTTTGGCTAAAATAAATTGTGATTGGGGTTTACCTGAGCTTATACTGCCTTACCGTATTCACAGCGATTCGAAATGCAATTTTAATTATGTTATTATGGAAATTGATATATGAAATTCTTCCCATCCCATACATGAAAAAATACATGACGTGTTGGTGATATATTATATATAGGCTAAGGCTATATATTAAAAGTCTTACATAGGCTATATGAAATAAAATGACACAACCCTGTCTTTTTTTTGTTAAATTTCAGTTTTATTGATCAATAATAGCCATTATTAAATTATAAGTAGCCTAAAAAGTATAAGAAGCTATATAAGTCAAGAAATAAAGCAAGTTAAAAGATTCAGTCAAACAGAAGTCAACAGGCTAACGTTACAACGTTACAGTTAAATAGCATAAATATATAAAGTTATGAAACTTCACTTTGCCCTCAGCCAAAACGATTTGCCAGGGAACAAATCATAGATTAATGAGACCAAAGATCGCCTGTTAGATATACAAAAGCCGATTTATAGCTCATGTTTAACCACTAGACACAGAGCCCGCGGGAAACGTCAGAATGACTAGCCGAGGTAAGGCTGTTCCAGGCGGGGTACATGAGCGCCGTGCGCCCGCTGATCCCTGGAACTCCGAAAAAGTCAGATCAAAATTTTAAATAGGCGCTATCTTTATAAACAAACCACAGATTTGAGCTTTAAACAACTATATTCTCGACTGAAAAACTCTTAAAACTACATTTCGTGACACGATAACACTAATATTTTTAAATTTCGCGGCCTTGAAAAACACTTCACCATACCGGCTTCCTTTATCTTCGGAGTTTCCGCTCCCGAACAGCACCATAGCAACCATTCTCCCCCATTGGTTAGCTGTTCGAAACGTCACAACACTACAAGGATTCTGGGTAATATCCCACAGCAAAGTGAGGTCTGATGCGCACTTGCAAAAGGGGTGCATTAAGTGCCCTTACGATCACCCCTGGAGAACACTATTAGAGGATCGGGACACCCTACGGTCTTGCACCCCTTAGCGAGAACGCGCATTGAGGGGCACAAGGGCGCAAGTGCGGATATTGGGACAGGGCCTTAGTTTACTTTCAGTTTCGTCTCTGCCGCCATCTTCTACGAGTGGTAAATGTGCGTGCATGAATGTAAGTTCATTTATCCTTATATTTAGCTGTTATTTTGTGATATATTAACACTTTTGTAATACTCAGATTCGCAGGTCTTGAGAAATCCGTGCTTACCGAGTATTATGCGTGGATTCTTGACTATTTTCTGCTTCTGTCGCGGTCGCTTGATAGAAGAGGCAGACTAAGACTTCTCTGCTCAGAACTCAGTGTTTATTTCAACATTTCTCTTAAACATCGTTCCACCGATTACATTGACCATTCCTTCAACCCACTCATCTCTTCACTTCCCCTCTCTCGACTCCTCCTCTTTTCACCTTTTTTCTTTCCCTTACGCTCGCGATATCTCGCGTACCATCTAACTTTATTTAACCTTCTCCTTTCGATTCTTACAAAATACTCCCCTTCCTATAAGAAATGTCCTCATTTCTATGTATGTTGACACAAAATGCAAGAGAACGTGATATAACAGTGCATGTCATGAAACGTACACATTATTATACACTTTTGTTTTTCACTGCTGTATAACCATGAGAACAATGAACTTGTTATACTGTTAAACAACTTACAGTGGTATCAAAAAATAAAATAAAAATAACACAAAATACTCATTATACTATTCCTACTGTATAATGATATAGCCAACTCACATCAAAACCGCAAGGTACACCATTCAAGGTACACCATTTAGTACAATTGAAAGTCTTTCAAATAAGCCGGCATTCGACGCAACCTTGGTCGTCCGTGTAGCGTGGAGGACTGCGTGACCGGGGCCACTGGGGAACCAGCGGGTACTCCCACTACCACCGAAGTTGGCGTTTGGGAGCGCTGTACCAAGGGAGGTGCGGGGCAAATGTCTCTAGCATTGTCCTTTAAAACATCAGGTAAAGGGCCGTGCTGCGGCAAAGGTTGGTGTGCTGGCGGCAAACATGGCCTGCGGGGTCCAGCGGAAGGCCCTGGGGCCATTGGCGTAACATGAGGTGGAAGGAGACCTGATAGTGTGTTCAGTGTGTTTGGTTTGGCGGTTAACTGAGGTGAGGGGGGTGCGTGTGTTTGTGAGTGGTCAGTGATGTATGGCTTCATGCGGTTATAGTGAATGACTTTGGTCTTGGCGTGTGGTTTGGAAGTATCACGAACAGCAAAATCCACGGGAGTAAGACTACCAAGAGGTGCTATTGACTGTAAAACCTCATAAGGACCCACCCAGCGAGGACGTAGTTTATTATGCTTGTTGGCTGGGTCATCAAGGAGTACCAAGTCGCCCGCCTTGTATGGAGTGTACTTCACACGACGATCATAGTAATGTCGTTGTTGTTCTTGCGCTTTGTCCCGGAAGGCAGTTGCTGATCGATAAGCAGAGGATAATCTGCGTCGTAGTGAATGAGCAAACGCTGCAGGCGTACCCGATGTGGCTGAAGTGACAGAGGTGCTGTCCTGAAATAGCACGTCTAAGGGAACGCGGGCCTCGCGTCCATGCGCTAAAAAGAATGGCGTGAACCCGGTACTGGAATGATTGATGGTGTTGTACGCTAATGCGACATGTGTGAGGTGTTTGTCCCATTCCCTACCAGACTCAAAGAGATATTTAGCAAGCTCATCTTTTAGGGTACGATTGAAGCGCTCCACAGCGCCGTCGCATTGGGCGTGGTAGGGTGATGTGCGGAGCTTTTTAATGCCCAATAACTTACAGAGATTTTGAATGAGGTCAGATTCGAATTGTCTGCCTTGGTCGGAGTGCAAGGCATCTGGAACCCCATGTTGCGGTATGTAATGATCAAAAATGCAACCTGCCACAGAGATAGCTGTCTGATCCTTCAAAGGATACAGATTTACAAATTAAGTGTACAGGTCCATCATCACTAAAACATAACGGTTTCCTTTAGTTGACGGAGGCAGCTCGGTTATGTCCGCGGCGACGATTTCGAATGGTCGATCAGGAGAAATGGAAATGAGCGGAGCTTGTGGTCGAGGCACAGGCGAACGTCGTGACTGACAGGCCGCGCATCGAGAACAATGTTTAGAAATGTCTGCAGACATGTAGGGCCAATAAAAGAGCCGCCTAGCCCTATTCAGGGTTTTAGCATGTCCGTAGTGGCCAACTGAAGGATCGCCGTGCACATGGGTCAGTACGTCTGGAACCAAGGACGTCGGAATGATAATTTGGAGGACGTCATCCGCCGGAGATTCACGCGACAGTCTACACAAGACATTTTCATGTATTGTTAACCGACTGAATTGTGACCACAATTTCCTAACGTATGGTGACGCGTTCCGGAGCCTCCACAAAGGGGGCTTATGACCCGTTTCTACCCATGAGAGGACAGCGGCCAAGTCAGAGTCAGATCGTTGTTGTTCTGCTACTTTCCAGTCGCTTTGAATTTGAATAAGGTTCGCTGTGACATAACTTGGAACAGGCGTGACTACTAGAGAATTAACATCCATTTTTGGTGTTTGCAAAGGTGTTGATGCAGGGTTTGACTGAGGCTTGAACAATGTGGTCTGTGTGGCGACCGAAAACTTTGCGGACTTCCGTTCGTTGCCATTATCTTGTTGAACAACCTCACCCTGAGGCCGTCGAGACATAGCGTCTGCGTTCAAGTGTTTGGCACCTTCGCGGTGGCCAGTGTTAATTTTGTCAGCAAATTTTGATTTAGTTTTAGTCTTAGTCTTTTGACTAAAATAGCATTTAGTTTTAGTCATATTTTAGTCATCTGAATTGTTTTAGTTTTAGTCTAGTTTTAGTCGACGAAATACAATAACATTTTAGTCGACTAAATCTACAGTAGATTTAGTCGACTAAAATATAATGGGTTTAGTTCAATTGTAATGCGTTAATTTAGAATTTCTCTAAAATTTCCAAACCCATTTACTCCCGGAGAAAACATCTATTAACCTATTAATATGAATGATTTTTAAGTTTGAACATGCAATACAGATACAGATTTAACTGCTGTTACTTAAAACATATCTTAAAATTAAATAAAACCACTTTTCCTAAAGTACAACACAGTCTTCTTTACAATGAATGATATATGCATTCCTTATAACTACTTGCATACATCATTCTTTATTCTTTCAAGCAGACATATTTATTTGTATGAATTCAATATAATTAATCCTTATTAAAGCTATTAACAAACAGTGAATGCTTTTCTCTTTTTCTTTTGTCGCTTGATCAAAATTAAGGACACGGACCGCATTATGTTTATTGCCACTGTCACTTTAAGACGTCGGATCATGTCCAATGACATGCGGATACAATTGCACTGATGCACATCCGATACACTCACAGTTTAAGACATAACCAGCATAGTTTACATGAATACTCTCTAAAACGGACATTTAGACATACTGTTGTGTGTATTTGTCCATTCAGACACGAAAGAGAGCTCAATTCAGTAGCCTACTCGGGCGCTGTAGGTGTATTGTGCATGACTGCACGCTTCGGGTTAGGTGTGTGCGCACAGAAAACCGCACCGAATAGAACTCTTTTTTTACGTTTTTTAACGTTTTATGACCGCGGGGTAGATCACGTTACAGTAGCCTACAAATGTGCGCATCTATCACACACGCAGGACATCAGTTCTGACGGATCGCTTCCCAAATCGTCACTATCTAACATTTTTGTCTAGTTTTTATTCGTTGACGAAAATGTCAATAGATTTTCGTCATAGTCTTTGTCATTCAAAACTAGGTTTTATTTAGTTATCGTCTCGTTTTCGTCTGTGAAAAAATGTCGTTGACGAATAATTTTCGTCGTTATTTTCGTCAACGAAATTAACACTGGCGGTGGCGCACGCACCAATCATAAAGGTCTAGTTCAACTGCCCAGCGCGCGCGTCTACCTGTTGGATCGTGATCCAGAGGGAGCTTTTTTAGTCCGACCAACGGCTTGTGGTCCGTGATGATAGTAAATGGGTGGCACGCAAGGTAGTGGCGGAAATGGCGAACTGACCACACAATGGCGAATAGTTCTCGATCGAAAGTGGACCATTTCCTTTCCGACGTAGACAGCACATGGCTGGCGTACGCGATAACATGCTCCTTGCCATCCAAGTGCTGTGAGAGGACAGAGCCGACTGAATACAAGGACGCGTCTGTGTAAAGTAGGAAGGGTATCGAAAGGTTCGGAAACGCCATAATAGGCGGCGACGTCAATGCTTCCTTTAAGACGTGAAACGATTCATCCGCCTGAACTGACCAAGTGAACGCAACACCCTTGTGTGTTAGCCGGTGTAAGGGCTCTGCTGTATGAGCGAAGTTTTTTATAAACCTTCGGTAATACGAACATAAACCTAAGAAAGCCCTGACCTGCGTGGCGGACTTTGGAATTGGCCACGTCTTAACTTTCTCAATGTTTGATGGGTCAGGCTCAACTCCGGCACTGGAGACACGGTGGCCCAGAAACGTAACCGAGGAGCATGCCAGATGACATTTAGACGGCTTGAGTTTAAGTCCGGCCGAACGGAAACGTCCAAATACGTCGCGCAAGTGTTTCAGATGTTGTGCGAAATCTGCGCTGTAAACGATTATGTCATCTAAATAGATCAAGCAAATGCTCCAATGAAGACCACGGAGCACCAACTCCATTAAACGCTGGAAGCTAGGCGGCGCGTTTGACATACCCATGGGCATCATATGGAATTGATAAAGCCCTGCTCCCGTCGAGAACGCAGTTTTTTCTTTGTCTGCCGGGTTAAGGGGTATTTGCCAATAACCCGCCGTCAAATCAATCGTGCTGAACATTTGTGCCCCAGACAGCCTATCAAGAGTGTCGTCGACCCGAGGAAGAGGGTGTGAGTCCTTGATTGTGACTGCATTGAGTCGTCTGTAGTCCACACAGAACCGGTATGTACCGTCTTTCTTTCGAACGAGTACAACCGGGGCTGACCATGGCCTCTGTGACTCCTCAATGATGTCACACTCCAAAAGCCTAGACACCTCTTCTTGTAGAATATTCTGCGTCGCTGGTGATGTGCGATATGGGCGTAGTTTGATTGGCGCTGCATCTCCAGTGTTAATGGTGTGTGTGTGACTAAATCGGTCCGTCCGTAATCGTGTGGATGTGAACTAAAAATGTCTGCAAATTCTGTCAGCAAATCCTTAAGCAAAGACTGCTGGTCTGCATCTAAGCAGGTATCTGCTAAAAGCGTGTCCTGAACAGTGCATGTTTTGTCAGTGGAGGTGGTAACAGATGAAACTAGTACATATTCATCCTGTGTATTTCCCGTTATAGAGAAAAACTGGCCCACGGGGCATCCTGCCTCTAAAGAGACCGGTTGGCTGGTCGGATTAACGACTCTAACGATGCCTCTACCTTTTTGAATCGACGTTAGAGTGCGTGCGATGCCTAAAGACACAGCCTGGGGAGACTGAGGCTCTACAATACCTACATATGAGTCTGTGAAGGGGTTTGCGACAACACCGTCTTTAATAGAAATGGAGATTGTCATTTCTGACATTGGCGGCACAGTTACCTGTGCGATAGAGAACGCTGCGCCCTGTACTGGAATGAATGACTGTGGCGGTGAAAGACATACTGTAGTGTCATACAATCGTAGCTGTTTGTGTGGTATATCGACCGTAACTGCGTGTTTGACCATGAAATCCCATCCGATAAGCACCGGATGGGTTGCTGTTCGTGTTATGTGAAAAATATGAGAAAATGTGGCATCCCCAATATGCACAAGGGCTGTTACAGAGCCCAGTATGTCTAATGGTTGTCCTGTGACTGAGGAGGCCAACACAAATGACTTATTAACAGGTTGAGATGCCAAGGCTGGGATCGATCTACGACAGTCGTCGGTAATGAGGGATAAACCCGAACCGGTATCGACAAGAGCATAGATTTCGGTACCAGCCAGCGTAACTTGAATGAATGGTGTAGGTGGGGTGGATGTATAGCACATATCATCAGAGTGGACCATTGAGTGTGCTGGAGCTGACATTTGGTCCCCAATGACAGCTTCTACTCGTTTCCCTGATGTGGCGAAGGAGGGGCAGTATCTCTTTTTACTGAAGAGAAATGAACATGGCGGGTAGGGGATGTGTGAGAGTGTGGTGGCTGTTTGTAATGCGGAGCTGGTGATGGTGAGCGGTGGGTGCGATAGAATGCCTGTAATGTGAGTTTGGTGAGGGTGAGCGAGTGGCATGTGATCTGTCATCATAGACCAAATGGGGTCGGCGCTCTCTCGAGGGGGAGCGGTCTGGCCTAGGGTGTGTATAATTGTGTCTATGGGGGCTATGTTGATCGGGATGTGAATGATATGGGGTGTGTGACACAACACAGGGGAGGGGGAGAATAGCTGCGATGGCTCTGATGACGGGGGTCTTCATAAGATGTAGCGTGATCATGAGAAGAGCGGCAGCGGTGCGAGGAGCTGTAGTCATCATAAGGTCGTTGTCGTCGTTCTCTCTGTGG